GGGATCGGGCCTGCCCTCTGCCACCCGGGGAGCGGGCCTAAGCCAGCAGGTGGTTATCTCCCGAGGGGTCCCAGACTGTGAGAGGGCACAAGTGGGACTGAGAGACACCCCCGACCCCCCTCCCCCGCCAGTGGACAAATTTTTGTGCACTGGGTCTCTAGTATTCTATAATGATAATGCATTTTTAATTATTTTAAAATATATTTTTATTGATTTCAGAGAGGGAGAGAGATAGAATCATCAATGATGAGAGAGAATCATTGACTGGCTGCCTCCTGCACACCCCACACTGGCAATCGACCTGTAACCCAGGCATGTGCCCTGACCAGAAGTTGAACTGGTGACCTCTTGGTTTCTGGGTCCATGCTCAACCACTGAGCCATACCGACCAGGCAGAACACATTTTTAAAATAAAAAATATAGAGAACTTACAATGATAACTCAACATATATTAATCAACATCACTACACCTATCCCAAAGACAGTAACCCTGATGTGTAGTCAGGATAGTCCCCCAAACGCTGCCAGGTTCTGGAAGCCAGCACGGAGTTTGTAAGCTCTCCACTGCAGCCCCCAGCCCTGTAGCTCCTGTCCAACAGCCCAGCGTTTACCCAGGTGCTGCCACATTGGCAAGACCCAGGGGCCTCAAAGCTGAGCAGACACACAAACTATTCTTGCAACTTTTCTCCAAGTCTAAACCAAGGCAAAACAAAACTTTTTTTTTTTTTTTAGTTGCATAAAAGACAGTGAAGGACAGTAACTGGTTTTACCTTCTTTCTTTTCTTCTTTCGTCCATCCTTTTATCCAGAGCTGCATAAATAGCATCCGCTTCCTCGTCATCCTTTTCATAGAGCCCGCTTGAGAAGAGGCTCCCTGCATAGCCATTAAACTGGGAACCAAACACATCCCCGGAGCGTCAGCTTCTCCTCCCACACAATCCCCACCAGCAGGAACAGAGCACTTCCTGTGCAAATGCTACACGACATTCTGCACCAGAGAAACCCAACCTGAGGAGCAGCAAAGCAGCTGTCAGGGCAGGGAAGATGGAGGAGACTGAGCAGCCAATGTATGAGGGGTCTGGACGGGTCCTGGACCAGAGGACACAGATGGGAAACTGGGATTCAAATAGCACTTGTAGATCAGCTAAGAGTGCTGTGTCATTCGATTTGCTGGTTCGATAGCTACTAAGATCATGGAAGAAGGGGAGAAGCCTGTGAAGGGTACCCAGGAATTTTCCCCATTATTCTTGCAAGATCCCTGGAAATTTAAAATTATTTCTGAACTAATTTTAGAAAGCTTTTCCTGAGGAAAAATGCTATCTGTTAGAACATATCTGAAGAAAACTTCAATGGACTAAATGCCAAATAACAAAGAGGGTGGCCTGGCTGGTGTGGCTCAGTGGTTGAGCATCAACCCATGAACCAGGAGGTCACGGTTTGATTCCTAGCCAGGGTACATGCCCAGTTTGTGGGCTCGATCCCCAGGAGGGGGCATGCAGGAGGCAGCCAATCAATGATTCGCTCTCATTGCTGTTTCTATCTCTCCCTCTCACTTCCTCTCTCTGAAATTAAAAAACACAAACATTTAACAAAGAGGGTGAAAATTAAAGCAAAAGAATGCAAATATCACTAATTCCACTTTACATTTTGATCTTTAAATTTTCACTGGCTTGAGTGCTCTCTTTCCCCCCAGAGCATGTCCGCTCGAGTCTTCTTTTTGAGTGAACTTTCCTAAATTCCAAGGGCCCTCCTTCTGCTTCTGTCACTTGTTTCCCGAGTCTACACAGCCCAGCTGGCTCACTTCTATTACCTCTGTAACTTTTTTATTTTTATGAGTTTATTTTAACTAAACTGAAGACATATGTCAGGAAGCAAGATCTCAAATGCTCCTCTATAACTTTCTAAATAAACTTGCTTTTATAATTTGAGAGGAAAAAAAAACTTCACTGGCCAAGACAAAACACCAATGCAGTGGTTGTAACAGCTGCAAGAACATGTCTCTTTAAAAAAAGAAAAGTTTTTATTGATTTGAGAGAGAGAGGAAGGGAGAGGAAGAGAGAGAGGAACATCAATTGGCCACCTCTCTCACGCCCCCCACTTGGGAGCGAGCCCAAAACTGGGGCATGTGCCCCAACTGGAAATCAAACTTTCGACCTTTTGGTGCACAGGACGACACTCAACCAACTAGGCCAGGACAGATTTGAAGAGGTAGCAAATCTTTATATTTGTCCTGCTCCCCTCACTCCACTACAGAAACCCCACGAATAGATGAAAAAGTAAATGCACCAGCCCCATCAAGCCACCCACCACAGATGCCAACAGCACACAGGGTTCAGAAGCTGCTCGACGCCTGGAGACTGGCCGGGGAGCCCACAAGTCACCTCATCGTAGTTGGTGTCATTCAGATCCTCATCATCGTCATCCGCAGCCTGGCTCTTCTTCATCTGGTCCCCGACGGTCCTCTTGCCCGGCGGCGCGTGGCGGTCATCCACAGGATCGTTGGCATCCCGGGCAGGCCCGATGTCTGACCGGGTGGTGAAGCCAGTGGCGCTGCAGAAGACCCCAAGACACCCCTTTACCTTGTTCCTGTGCTCTTCCCGCCACACTCGTCACTTTTCCTAACACCTCCAGACGCTGGTGGCAGAAAGCCTTCCACCCATCCTGAGGTTATTCAGACTTGCTTTTGCCACCACATCCTCCTTAGGAGAGAATCCCCAGGGCATGAGGCTGCCCTCCTTCCAGCCCCAGGCCCCATGCCCAACAACCTCCCATCCAACCAGGCCCTCAAACCCGACCTGCGGCTACTCTGGGCTGTTTCAGCTGATGACAGTGCCATCCTGGCATTAAGGCAGACACCCTGGTATCAGCTTTGCCCCCCTCAGACCTTCTCCATCCCATCGGTCCCCACGCTGCACTGAGTCCACCTCCCAACCCTTCCTTCTCAGACCATGACTCCCAACAGCTGGGAACCAAGTGAGCCCCCCACCCCACCGCAGCTCTGCTTCCCCAATGCCTCCAGGGGCCCCGCTGCCATCACCACAGGTTCTGCTCAGACTCCTTGCTATCTATTCCCTCACCTGCCTCATCTGTTTCCTTAACTGCCGACCACACAAAATGTCAGTTTCTCCTATAACCCTGCCACATTTCTGCATCCCTAAATCCAGCTTTCCTTCTAAACCTGGCTCAAATGCTACCACTCCATAAAGCGTCCCCTGGCCTCTGGACCCCAGAGTTCTAAATCTGTTACCCTGTATGAATTTATTTATGCATTTACCCCAACTCTCCTAGCCAACTACAGGTCCTCTGAAGGCACTGTCAAATATGAGGCTTATATGTACCCCACAGATTCTAACACAATACCAAGGAGAGAAACCCAGTTTTCCTAACCAAATCAATCATCAAACAGGATAACGACTGCTCATTTATTCAACAAGGTCTGGCAGTCGTCTGTGTGACCTGTGACGGGGACCCCTAACCACGGGCTCGGGGCCGCCGCGTGGTGAAGCCCAGTCCCCCCGCGCCTGGGCAGCACGTAGAACTCATCCTGGGGTCTGTCCTCTCCCCGAAGGACGATCCTCCCTACAAACACTGAGCCAAATGGCCTCGCATCTTCCAGACTCGGTGGCCGCAGATCCTCACTGATTGTCTCAGTCCGGTAGTTCGCACGGTCTCGCCCGAACCCCTGCCCCTTCCCCCAGCGCCGGGACCCGGCCAGGCCCGCGCAGCCCGCCCCACGGCTCACCCTCGGCCCAGCCCCGGCACGTAGCCGAGCGGCGCGGGCATGCCCAGGAACGGCTTCTTCTTCTTATTCATGGCGCCGCCGCCGACGAGGGCTGGGAAGAGAAGGGACGGAAACCGCAGCCGCAGGCGAAGGACCGCAGGCGTCCGAAGCTGCGCGGCAGGAAGAAGTTGCGGGCTCCGTGTCACCCGCGCCCCGGAAACAGAGCGCGCGGTACGCAAGAAGCCCCGCCCACCTCGGGGTTCCAGGGGCGGAAGTCCGGAAACGCACTTCCGG